CAAGGGAATGAAGGACTTTCGCCCATAGTCCAAATCAGCACTTGGAGGTCTTGTGCAGTTAGTCCACCAGGCACGTGAGCCAAAAGCCCACAGCCGAGGCTTGGGCATGATGCTTGCCTTGTTCCAGAACTTGGGGGTCTTGAGCATGGTGGATGTCAAGTGGCCCGACGAAGTTTCGAACCTGCTCGCGCTGCCCGGCCGAACACACCAGTAGCCATTGCTTCGAGACCAGCGTCGAGTCAACAATGCCAGCTTTGGAGTCGTCACATTCGAGCGCTGCACTTTGTGAGGACCGATTTTGGGCAGACCGTGCGAGCTTGATGCATGCTCCTCAGCTCCTCTGAACATCCCAAAATCTATAACTGCAGATTGGGAACAGTTCAGCCGTTGTGATCTACCCGTTTCCCAACATTCAGGCACAGGGGTAGGAGGCTTGGGAAGACTACAATCATTAGAAAGCCTCCGTAACTCCGGCTGGTGCTTAACAGCTTTGGCCTTGGTCATTTTTGCTGTTTCACCCAGTCGCGGCGGTGATGAGTTAGTGAGACTGCGCACATAGCGTTAAATGGCCCTTGGGGACTATGTTCTGAACGGCTGTTGTCTTCATCTCACTCACTGGACTGAACAGACTGTTTTAAACATGGGCCCAGAGAACCATTTTGATTGTAGTTAAACAGATAGTTTAGGGTTTGTTCGACCAATCAACTCAGGGAAGAGAGACTCCGAATCAGGTCCTCATCTTCCGGCTGGCGACAGCAAACACATGCTTTTGTGTTTGCCTTTCTGTGGCATCAGGAATCCGAATCAGCATGTTAATCACCGGAAATGCAGAAGTAAGATGCGAGAGAACTTGGCATCTACAGAAATGGAGACGATCCTTCCAGCCGGGGACCCATCAATAGTTTAAGAACATCCAAAACCCCGGACGGTTCTTCTCCGTTTCAAAACACGTACCACCACACAAACAGAGCCATGACAGGATCTACGTGTTGACCAAGTATCAAGCTTTTGTTTGTTGAGTTCATGTGGCCGTCCGACTTTGCATTAGATGCCTTCTTTCGACTGTGTGTGTGTGCAAACATGATTTATTTTCGGACAGGTGTTTCCCCCCCCCCCCCCCGAGAAGCAAGCAACGTGTAGAACATTTGAAACCCTGGATCATTTCTTCAAGAAGGGGGCCAAGGGGCTAAACTCCTGAATCCCACAATGTTGCATTCGCTGCTGTGCTGAGGTTCGCTTCCATCTTCACGTTCAACTTGGATGCTCTGGGGTTCAGTTGTCTTTCCCACGGCATCCAAGCTGTCCAATGGCATCCTTGTTTCCCCTTGTGGTCTTTGTGTTCTTGCTTTATTTCTTCCTTTCTTTCCTGATTTCTTTCTTTCTTCCGTTTCGAGTTGATGTCTGCAAGCAACATCGGCCAACAGCAAGCGTATCCGCGTGTGTCCCTGGCAGGCAACGTGTACCGCTACACAGGCACCGCGCTGTTCTTCCTGGTGGTGGTCCTGGCACTGCCCGCCACCGGCGTGGTCACCCAGCTCCTGCTGGTCATGAAGAAGCGGGGCCTGGCCTGGGAGAAGTTCAAGACCTACAGCGACCTGGCGGAAGGTCTGCTTGAACTTTGGCTAACTTGTAACCTCAAAAGTGGTGGAATGCTAGACATGTGATAAATCTCATAAATGGTGTCCAGCTGGTCCCCGATTAGACTCATGCCCAGGTAACTTTTCAGAGTAACCTCAAAAGTGGTTGAATGGTGGACATGTCTTGAATCCCCGAAATGATGTCCAGAGGGTCCCCAAGTAAAACTCATGCCCATATTTTTCCCCTGTGGTGACAGAACAGATTTCGATCCTGGGTTTAGAGTTGAACCTTGGCCGAAAGAGGCCATTGCGTTAGAGAAGGCCACTTTCTGTGAGCGGCCAAGGGAAGCCCCTTTGAAGTGCAAAGGAAGTCTTTTTTGACAAACGTATTCGCATGGTCCACTTTGGTATCTCAGGAATGGTTATTCTCCACCATGTTAATGTCGTGCAGAGAAAGTCTCGCAACAGTTCGGACGACAGTGCAGGACACGGTACTTCTGCTTGGCATCGTTCAACTCCGTGTGAGCGCTCATATTGATTCGCATATGCCTTGCAAGTGTCCAGGTCACAGGGATGCTCGTTGCGTTGCCAGGATGTTTTCAACGAAACCTAGGGGTTGTCGTTGAATAGCTGCAGTGCTCTGTGTTTCCGTGCACTTCTTTGCTTAAGGTCCTTAGAACACCCAAGGCAAGTTGCCCATAAAATGACCCAAGCGGTTTTGAAGCTGAGTGCGCTCCGGCAAGCCCGATTCAAGCGAACCTGGGTCGTGTTTTAGGGAACCTTTTTTTGGTTCTACGAGGAAGCCCGAAGGAAAAACACCGTTTTGGGGGTTCCCCAATTTCAGCACAAACCTAAATCAATCCACAATCCTTATGTTACAGTGCCCCGCGGTCTTTGTTGCAGTCCGCTTCCACGGATTGCGGATCGGTTTCGGGATCCCTCTATTTTCAACGGCCCGGCCAAGAGAACGAAGTATGAAACAGTGGTTGAACGAGTCATCTGAGGCACAACGGGCCAATTCTTGCAAGTGAGCTTCACCACTATGGCGAATGTAGGGTTGATGCCCTTCATGTGCTACAAGCATCCCACCGGAGAAGAGAGCGTCCTGAAGTACACGGAGGTGCTGTGTGGCTTCCTGGCGTGGGAACAGAGTCGAACCTGAAAAACTGCGCTCGACGTTGGAACTCCCTGACTTTGCGCTTGGAGATTTTGAGATCTCCGATCCCATGACATCCGCCAAAAAAAGAAAGAAATAAAAACCGACAGCTGCTCTTTCAAGACACGCGTCCGGCTCTCCGGAGCTCAGGTTCCGGGGAGCACCTGGTCATGCAGATCGTGGGCAGCCTGGTGGTGCTGCTCGCGGGGCTCTTCTTCTCCGGGAGCTGCTTCGCGGCCTGGGTGGCGCCGTGCCTCGGCGATCGCTTCCGGGGCTCCAAGTGGCGCGTTGGGACGCCGAGCGGCGCCTCTTTGGTTTCAAAAAGGGTCCCCCAATTTGGACCGCCTCCCAAGTGAAGCGCAAAGTCAGAAGCTGAAATTGGGGGTCGCGAGCAGGGCAATGGGAACAGAGCCACCTTGCCAATGATCAAGATTATCACTTGCTAGAAGCAAACAAAAACCGCGACTCGCACAACTTGCAGTCCCGCCCTCGTTCTTTCCTTCAACCGCAGGCTTCTCAAAACAAACGCCTGTGGCTGGTGCAGCCACGAAGTTTTTTTTTTGCGTGTCAAGCCCTTAGGCTTGGCGGCCACTATTTGTGAAGGGAATCCACTTCAAAGTGATCAGATAGTTTCGGGAATGACCACCTTGGCTTCATACTTCTTTGCCGCCTGCCAGTGGTAGCACGTAGTCATGCCAGCCAATGGCTGGTTTGCCTGTTTGCTACAGACCCATGGGTACATAGGTGAATAAAGCCAGATTTCATGTCGGTTCCGACAAGTTGGCTTTCTTTCTGTTGAAATCGAGCATTTTAGAGCCTCAACTCAGTCTGTAGATCCCCTGCATTTCTCAGCACTTGGATGCAATTGACCCATAGGAGTTTGTCTGGGAGACCGTCCCTTGCCGCCATCCGGTTCCTCGTCTTCCGCTTCAGGCGGGGGTTGGACTGGTGCTGGACAAGCCCAATCCCATGGACCCAAAGATGATATGGTTCTGATAGCAATGATTCACTTATACTTGTACTGACCATCAATCATTGTTCTTGTTATTAGCATTAGCAGCAGCAGTAACAGTAGCAACAGCAGTGGTAGTAGGAGCGGTAGTAGTACTCGTAGTACGAGCAATAGCAGTAGCAGCAGCAGCAGCAGCAGTATCTAGTATCTAGTATCTAGTAGTAGTAGTAGCGGTAGTAGTATTAGTAGTAGTAGCAGTAGCAGTAGCAGTAGCAGTAGCAAGTAGCAAGTAGCAAGTAGCAGTAGCCGTAGCCGTAGCAGTAGCAGTAGAAGTAGCAGTAGTAGTAGTAGTGGCAGCAATAGTAGTAGTAGCAATAGTAGTACGTAGTATAACTTTTGGATTAAAATGTCGATAAGGACAAATGGCCCACCCACTTGCACACCGGAGGGTACTCAACATTTCGTGCGTTGGAAATGGAAGACAGGTGGCTTCGCTGGCTCAGTGCGCAAACCTGTTTTCATGTTTCCCAGCGAAGGGTCCGGGGTGGCAAGAGTGGCAGCTCAATCTGGCAGGCCCGACGTGTGGTGGTTCGGCGTGATCTTGCTGGCGAGGGGGCCCTTGCTGTCACTGCCTGCTGTTGTGGCAACCGACATGCCAGCCCTAACCTTGGCTCTCATGCTTGGCATTCTGCTGCTTGCCATCACATTAAGCTTGGTCGACAACTCCACCAGCTTATGCTCAAATTGGGAGGGGCACGCCTAGCTCCAACAAGAGCAAGTTCTTGGTCTGGAGTCAGGCAAGCGACGCCACCTATCACACATATATGAAAATAGACTCGTTTGTCTTGAATTGAGGATTGGTTGCCTTGCTGCTTGCCTGCTTGCAGGTATAGAGCTCCTTGCGTCGGTGGTTCCGGCTTCAGGCCTTACATCCCTACTGTACGTGGGCAAATTTCTTCGTTTAGAAGGGGCCTTCCCTTCTCAAACATTGCCTGCCCTCAGCCTCGTGTTGCACGTACAAAATAGAGTTTGCGCAGTCTTGAACAATCAAACTCAGGAGAATGTTGGTAGAGTCATGATGCCTCACTGTGCGTCGCTGGGTTGTCGCTTCTCTCGTGTCTCACCATTTTGATACCGTGACATGATCCAGGCGTATATGTTTTAGTGCGCACCGTTGGACGAGTTCAAAACTTCAGACCCTCGAGGTCCCAACAGTTGTTGAATGGGATGGAACGCTCAGACGTTGCCTCCTGTCAGTGGCTTGCGGTCAACCAATGCTTGCCCAGTTGATTTGACGGGAAAGAAGCCGTGGAGGAAAGAAGCCAAATTTGTCCACGGGGTCAAGCCAAGCGAACAGTGGGCTTCAAGGACGACCTAAATTTTCGAGGTGATGCTGCATTCCTCACTAGGAGTTTGATTGACAGAGCCGCAACTGTACGCTTTGGCAGTGCTGCTGGCATGCACTTCGTATTGAATTTCATCGTTGACCATCCTGCGCTGGGTAAGATAAGCCTGCAAAGGCAGGCAGGCAGGTAGGCAGGCAGGCAGGCAAGGAAGCAAGCAAGCAAGCTTGCAACTGCACGCGCGCATAGTCTGACATGAACTCACGCATCCCTGAACACACACACACACAGAGGCACAAGCACACACGGGCGATTCATTTCGAGCCAAAGCAAAGCGAGTGCCACCACCTGAGGTTGGCCTCATTGGTTCTGCAGGTGTGGTTTTTGCCGCTTGGCCCACACACCACTTCTTGGTTGTTTTGAGGTTCCCTATAGATGTGTTTTTTTCTTCATCAGTCTCCTTGCAAAATCCGCCATAGGGCGGTGTTTTACTCTTTTCTCATGGAAACCCGCCATGGCGTCTTTGGGACGAAGGCCCTGGAAGTCGCCGATCCTTAACCTCGTGGACGCAGCGACGGTTTCTTCGATGGTAATGCTCTTGGCAATCTCCCTGGGACTGGCAGATACCGCCGGAGACGTGGAGCTTCTACGAGCCTGCGTGCCTGTGCCAAGTAGTTTTCCTGTTCCTGCCGAAAATGGGAACTGCAGGGGGTTCTTGCTCGGCTTGCCTTCGAGCACCAGTCCAAAGGGTCTGCAATTTGGGGAAGCGCTCCAATGTTGCACTGCAGCCTCAACAATGAAGCGCATGGTGGTTTCACATCCATTAGGGTTCCCTGTATGATTTTGTTCCTTCTTTTTTTCCTGCCTTTGTAGCCCATGTATTCTTGATATTTCACCACGTTGTTGTTAGGATTTGTTGTTGGGGCTCCTTGTTGGTTTGGGACAGTATGAAGCAGGCGACCATCGCATCATCCACCATGATCTCTATTATGGTTTTCATGCTGCTCTTGTCAGCGGTGGCACTCGTGCAGCGCCATGCTATGGGCAGCCAGCAGCCTGGCAACGTTTTGGCTCATTCTTTGGGGTTGGCCAACCCGCTGTTTAAAGATGATTAAACACCAGATACCTGTTAAATCAACCTCCCCTGTTTGGGTTTTGAAGAGGGCTAGGGTGTGCTTGTTCAAGCATATGTTGCCCAGCTCTAGTTCTGAGGGAGGGGGTGGCGTGGAAGAATAGTTTTTCTTCCCTTTAACAAACTTTGGCGTAGAAGAACAATTGTTATTCCTTCTCGTTTCAGCAAGATTGCCAATCTGGGTGGCGGCAGCTATGACTAAGCTCGGTCCCTCTCTTGTATGTCAGGCTTTTAGCTCGTCCACATTCATATGGGAAGTGCAATGAGACGTACGAGGTTTGTCCGGGCATTTTTTTCTGGCGCAGGCAAGAAATGTGGCTTCTGAACCTGGGCCGCTTGCCGGATGCCAACGACCTCTTTACGAACCTGACACACATCGCGGAGTCCATCAGTCAGGCCCAGGGTGGCTCCTTTTGTTGGTTTCCATATGGCTGTGGCTCAAAGAACCGGTACCAAAATGGAACCCTGGTAAGTAGAAACATGGACCAAAACCTGCGGAAACCTGGCCCAAAAACAGCAACAAGACAAAGCCAACCTCCTCAAAGTCCGTAGCCAGGAAAAGAGGGATCATCCTGAAGAGAGACGCAGGCCGAGTGACGGGGCCTACATAAACGCCAATCAGGAGGGCTCAAGAAAAGATTGCTGCTCATCACAAGCCTCTGCTATGTTCACAAGCATGGGAGGAGAGAAGGCCACTTTTGAACGGGCATCTAAAAGTCCAGAAAAACACTCCTGAACACAACAGCATGATACCCGGCGTGGGGATCTTGGACATCTCCTCGAGATGCACCTTGGGCTTGAGCAAAGGGAGGACCCTTTGCCATCATCATGGTTCAGGCAATGACTGCCCACTGCGTTCTCGATGAAGTCAAGGGAAGTCACAAGTCTGTCACGCGTACCATAAGAGGCGATGAACGCGCGGCCGCATGTCCCAGATGAAGGTCCCGCCAAGAAGGGATCAAAACCCAAGTCTGGTCTTCAACTTCCAAGGAAAAACAGATGGAGTCAGCCAATGAAGCAAGTACGATCAGGCACGGGAGGCAGCACAAGGCGACAAAAGTAAGTGCAAGGTGAACTCGCACCAAAGACGAAGAGGTTCTCAAAGCAAAAGTCAAGGTGGAGTCGCCTGACCGAAGTATAATCTGCCCGATATCCACGCAAGACAAAGGAATCGCAATGCAACATGAATGCTCATGTTAGCACCACCCACCGTTATCACGTGGCGGTCTTGAGCAACATCTAACTTTTAGTGGGTTATATGGGTGTGGCTCAAAATTAACCAGGAGGGGCAAACCTATCAGCCCTGACACCGTCAGGCTGAGCCTGGAATGAAGGTAGTTAAATCCATTGGCTGGTGTGTTGATGGGTTTCTAGATGAGACGGCTTTATGGATTAGTGGTTACCTTTCCTACCTTTGGATGAGTCTTTCGGTAGACGAAGGAAGTGAGTTAGCGAATAGACGGGAGAGATGGTGAGTGAAGCGAGATGACGAAGGAATCCCATCTCTCTATCTCTCACACACCTCCATTTCCTGGATTTTTGGAGGTGCAATAATAAAAATAAGATGTTAATAATAAAATGGCTTAAGGAATATGGCAAAGATAAATAACCATAATATGTCTATAAAATGCCAAGAAGGGAAATAATAGAAGGTAAAAAGAAACAATAAAGAAATAAATAAAAGATACCTACGATTATGAAAGTAACAGCATTTGAGGTAGAATGAAGGATTCTGAAGAAGACAACCAAAAAAGACTCCAAAAATCCATTCCTCTTTCCCCTATTTCTCGTTTTCACCTTTGAGGGACACCCTTTACGTTCATGTCCTTTTTCGGGCCTTTGACCCTTCCATATGCCTGCTCCTCCAGTGTGAGGAACAGCCATTGTAGTTTGCGCTTCGGCCCCTTGACCCTGCAAGCCACAGCGCTTGCTCCACTCATTTTTGAAAGGTTTCTGCAGCCTCTTCGCGAGGCCCCATCAAAGCGGCTTCCCCCCCGTGGCGGGGTTGTCCCTGTAGCTATGGTGCCTCGCGTCCTTGCCGTTTGGTTGCCCTTCAAGTTTATCGCGGTTGGGGCATCGCCGTATAATTTACTCTGCGCACGCGCTCGTGGCTCGTGGTACTACCACCGGCCACGTAACGGACAATAGTCATGCGGGGCACTAAAAGTTAGACTTTTAGCGGGGGATCTGAGGACTGCCCAGTGTTGAAATATTCACCTAGCAGTCCTCGATCTTGGTCCCTTGTCCCAAAGGTGCTTAGAGTCAGGCACCCGTGCAAAGAATCCCCAGCTGAATATGGACCTGAAAATCCGAAGCACAAACTCTGTTTAGGGCCCCTTCTTGAACGCCATGTCAATTTGCAGATTTGCGGAGGATTCGAGGACGAAGCAGATGGTGTCGAGCCTCGAGAAGCTCTCGGTCTATGATTTGAATGTTGTCATGCGCGCAATCGATGTCCTAGCAGACGACCTGGACCTTTGGCACGGGTCGCATCGTTTGGACCCAAAGCGGGGGATTGATTCGAACGCAGGTTTTGGCACATCCGAAGCATGAAGCTGGTGTTTTTTGGTTTTAAGGGAGGGATGCCTGTGAATTGCCGGTGAGTACGCAACTTTTGGGGGAAGAGTGACTGGCTCACAGCGTGAGATGGGTATGACAAGCGCAAACAAAGCGGCTTTGTACCGACAGAAGTTGCCGAAACAGCATTTGTTTAGGGCGGCCAAGCAGCAATGGCAGCCCGTATGGACGCCATTGGTAGCCAGCCATTTCAATTCAGTGTGGGGGTGGTTTAGGCACTGTCAGACCATGAAAGCTCCTTCTTGAAACAGTGTCAAGCAGTCAAGGTCGCTTCCCAGTGGCAGGCAGTCATCTTCCACAGAACTTCCCCAGAATTTCCTACCGGCTCCTTTCCGGAAAAGCAGCCACATTTGGTGAGAGGATATCAAGTTCTACTGAGAGCCGTTCCAAAGAAACCATTTTTGGGGCGGGGTGGGGAACATGTTCTGGCAATCACGGAACGTAACCGGGGTGTGCAAAGTATGGACACGGCCGCCGGTACCGCAAAGGGGATGCCATGCGATGCGGGCCCCGAAGTTGACATGCCGAAGTGCCTGGAACTTGAGGGTTCCAATTTGAGGAACTGGTATGGATGAAACCCTATACCACATACCATTTGTACCCTTTTTTAGGGTTGGTTGGGGGAAAGGAGAGCCATTTTGAAGCATTAGCCCAATGTGAGGAAATGGAGGTGTCACGCGGCGCCTACAGCTCCCGCATCTCCATGTCGACGAGGTCCTTCCGGGCCTCCGAGGTGAAGAGCCTTGTAGAGAAGGGCCGGACGCCGGGCAAGTCGTTTTTTGAGACTGCCCTGCTGTTTTGTGGTTTTCAAGGGCAACCAAAAGGACGATCGCCATTTTTTGGGGTCGGAGAGAAAAAACAACTGGGGTGTAATGAATAGTCAGACACTTAGACCAAAGGTGAGCCTCCAAAGGACAATCTGTCCTGAAGAGACTCACCTTGGAATCTAACATCCCCCGGGCAATGAGTGGGCAATGGACCTTGCTCTTTGGGTCTGCGTCACATTTGGAGGGGAAACCCTGTTGGATCTCCCAGCTCCGCTCTGCTTGGATAAACCTGGTTTCCGCACTTCAAGGCGCAGTCGGTGCTGCCAACCACAAAAAACAGCGTCCACCTAGGGATGATGATGAGTAATTGGAGAGACTTCATAAGGTGGGTCAGGGTCAGGCAGTTGCCGTTTAGCTCGAGCGGGTTTGAGCCACTTTGGTTCAACCAGTCGTTCAGGTTTCGCTTGAATTCAGATGAGGCTTCAGTAATGTCCACCGCTTCTCGTTCAGCTCTTCGAGATAAGTCCCATGACGTTGCCATGTTTGTTTCAAGATCCTCTGAGGTTCAACACGCAGGCGAATCAGGCGCAACATGTGCCCGACAAGAACAATGAGAAAGTGGCCTTGCCAACTCTTGATCCCGCTCAAGTCACTTGGCTGTGAAGGCATAGGAATGCAAACAAGGCGGCGCCCAAAACCGAGGGTTTGCTGGACGTTTGGTTCCTGCGCTACCTTGCATCATTGCCGTGTCAGCTCGCACCGTTAACAACGTTCGTGCTATGAGCTGGGCCACATCTTTGAACACGGAAAACAGTGCTGAAGTGTGGCTCACAAAGCTCATTTTTTAATCTGTGCTGTCTGCTTGGATGTGTCCTTGCCTCAGGTGTCGTTTGAGGCCATGTTATGGCACGTTTCAGTTTGATTCCAACCATTTAGCAGTGCCATCTATTTGTCCAACAGGACACCCAAGGGCCTTGAATGCTTCCTCGTTCCTTATTAGCCTGACGTGCAGAAAAGCTGAACACTGCTTGCGGTGCAGTTATTGCCCTCGGACGATCAGCAGATGGTTGTACTTCATTTGCGGGGAGCAGCGCAGGTGTCCTATATAGAGGGCCATGCTCATTCTGCAAGCGAAACTTGGACAATGCAAATGGTGCTTCCGTATGCTGATGTTCATGTTTATCACACATTGCAGTTCTGCGGCCAACAACCAGAGCTCTGTGTGATCGCGAAGAATATCTTGCTTGGCGTATGTCAAAGCAGTCACCGTTTCAGTCGTTCCAGTTGCAGCCTGAAAAAGGGAGCGCCTGCGCAAGTGGAGGTTTGTCCCTTTTCGGATGTTACAGGAGATTGAGCCTTGAACGCTTCACTATGTGCTTCACAGTCTGCCCGGATGCGTGTGCCAGGTCGAGCGGGCTTCTCAAGGTCTCAGTACTGTTTTTCGAGCTTGCTTTCCGAGATCGACGTGAGGCAAGGCGCAACATTCAGCGAGTCCATAAAAATCTGCTCCGGCCTCGCACAAAACAAAGTCAGGTTCGACTGCGACATGTCTCCACTGTCAAGCGAAGCTTTGGAGCTTTGGGTTGCGGAGTTTCCCTCAGATGCTGGTGGCATGGATGAAAGCTTTGGCTTATTGGGAAGTGCCTTCCACAGTTCAAAAGATTCCCATGAGAAGGGGCACCCCCAATGTAATCAACCAAGGGGTTGATGTGGGCGAAGACGCGACATGGTTGACGGCTTCAACAAGTTCCAGCATCCCTGGCATCACTTTGCTTCGTTTCTCCAAGCGTATTGCAAGGACGCAACTGCATCATGTTTGGCCTAGCAACCTGAGCTACTCCAGACGCAACGAGGGTTTGGATCAAATGCTCTCGAAGCGGGGCATATGGGTAGAAGCTGCTTCCCGATCAGCAAATCGGACTGTTTACTGCTTAAGTTGCTACGCGTCTCAGCTGTAAGCTTCATGTACGAGATGCTTCCCGTGTGATTGTTGCTGTACGTAAGCAAAGTCCGGCGCATATTGATAATGACAATCCTTGAAGTGTCATGATGGTTGAGGCGAGTTCGCGGCGCGAACAGGAGTGATGCATGAGGCTGGCAATGCAGTCAAAGAAAAAGGAGGGGTTTTGCAGACTCAATATGTCGAAGATGAGAAAAGTACGCAACAAATACATATGTGCATTCTTGTTTGAAGAGTCAGCAATATTGTTCAGTGGTTAGCAGTAGCTACCCGCGGTGGTTTCCCTTTCGCATGGAGGGGTTCTACTTGGTACATGCAGGTCAGCGGGCGTGCGCACTACGCCTGGCCCATGTAGCTGATGCGATGTGCTTAAAGGGTTCCGTAGTGGATGGAGTGTGGGTGGCTGTCAACGTGGGTCTTCGGGAATTGATAAGTGCCTGCTCAATCATTTGCAAGAAGGCCTCCTGCTCCTGAAGTGAAGGAGCATGGCCGATGTTTCCGCGTTGGAAAGCATCCAAGACGGATTTCCCACAACAGGGTCCCCCCTATCCTGGCCTCTGCTTTGACATCCGGCCTCCGTGTGATTGGAGAACAGGGTGTCCAAAAGGAGAGCGACCGAGCGACTCCCTAAGGCAAGTGGTGCTAGAGAATGGAGATGTTTGTGGATGTCGCAGCGGGCTGATTGGTGGCATTTGGTGGCCTTCTGGGGACTGCCGTTGACGGGAAAAGGAAACCTTGAAGCCAGGGACCAATTCCCATAACTCCCCGCATGAGCGGAAACCCCTGGGCCCGAGGCAATGCCGTCCTCAGCGGCATGAAGGCGAGAAGTCGGCCTACCGGCGCTACTGCCCCCCCCGGTTGCAATATCGGGCCCGCCAGACAAAGAAAAATGGTCCCTTTGCGAAACATGGGCGAAATCCAGGATCCCCCCCTTTCACGTTCCATGGCTCTGTGAGGAGTGCAGCGCAGGGAGCGGATCGAGCTTCACTCGCATTCCGTGGCCAATCAATCGTGCGTTGGGAGTCGCTCAATGTATGAAGACCAGCGGAAACTGGGGGCGCTGCTATGATCGGCATTTTGTTCAAGGCCATTTTTCACGGAGCGACCGTGTTGGTGCGGTTTTCCAACCGGGGATGTGGCGTTGTCCAACCGGGCCTCAAAGAAATCCGAGTTTAGACTCAAGCATTTTTTGGGCTTATGTGTTGCTTTGCTTGGGAACATGTAGCGGCTCGGTTGCAGCTTGTTCGCAGCCATATTTCTCAGCGTTGAGAGAACTATTCAATCTAGCTCCCCTCCCCACCCCAAAAAAAGGAAGAAGCAGGATTGCCAACAATGACCCTCAGACGGAACAGTCCGGCGTTTTCATTGTCACCCACTTGCTGTATGTGCAGCTTCAATTGCATTGTGAAGCGTATTATTTGCCCAACTTGTGTGGGCTCGTCAAACGTTTTGCAAGTTTAGCTTGACCCCGACTCTGGAGAGACAACCTAAAGTGCAATGATTGGAAGCGGCAGCTGATTGGATTTGTCCTTTGTCTTTCTGTGGAACCAGGACCTAGCCATGTTGAAAGACGGTTTCCTTGCTTGCAATACCGTCAATGAGGGAAGCCAACCAGAGGAACATGTACAGCACGTTAACCTTGACGCCTGTGCCCAAAGGGTTCGAAGCGAATCTTTCCCGCAGGCGTCGGGGCTTGGGCTTTGGCTTTGTTTTCGGCCCAGAGCCACGACTGTGAAGGTGCCCAGAGCTTTGGAACGCTGCCACGGACGGATTGCCCGCGAGTGAGTCGTTGTGGCTATCTCCCGGCTGTTCAGTGGCACTTGTCTCCCCTTTTGACCTGGTGTGTTACACGCCGAAACTCGTAAGGTCGCCTCAAAAGGATTCCGATTCTTCACCATAACCGCTGAATGACTGGGACTCGAACGTTTTACTGCTGAAGTGTTGTGGCTCTTGCGGCCAAGTGAAACGTCTATGAGTTTGAGCACGGAACGCACCCAAAAAGGTGGGCTGGCAGAACCCCGATGCATTTCTGATGTCCACGGGTCCCATTTCAAGTTCATGCCCAAACCGCTTGATAAAGCTGGAAAGTGGCCCCAAGCGACCGGAAAGAGTCCTGGACAGGCGCCGTTCAGCACTTCGCGCGGCATCATGGAGGCACGCAGACCCTTGGGGAGTGAGTTGCTGAATTTCCGCCTTTTCGTGGCTGGGGGTGCTTTCTCAAGAGAGAAGACTGATTAGTTTGGGGCTGCAGCATGCTGCAGCGTTGGACTGCTGTTTGGGCATCACGTTTTGGGCCAATTTTGATGAAGATTTCTTTGAGTTTCCAGGGAGGTTTAAAGTGAAAGTTTCTCGGGTCTGGCCCACAACTTCATCTCCAGAAATCCAGAACTGCAACTGGCATCCTCATGGAGCTGCACAGGCCCCTTTAACATTCGAGTGCCTTGCTTCATTTCGCGCATGGGGTGTTTGAGAAAATCGCGTTGTGTAGCTCACGGCAGATGGGTCTGAGACCATTGTCCAGTTTTTTTGTGTTTTTTGTTTTTCCCCCCCGAAAAGTACTTCACGACACAGCAGAGCCAAGACTGCAACATGCAACGCTGCTTACCCTTGTCAAGCATTCTAGCGATATGTTGCAATCAAAAGGCAAGATTGGCTCAGGCAAGCATGTCGCACTTACTTCACACCCGCTCTTGTTTGACCATTCAAGGGTGCTTTGCTTCCTGCTTGATGCACTGTTCAGCTGTTGATGTGCTCCACGCCATGTTTCGTCTTCAATGCTTCCTGATCTTTCTCCTGCGTAGCTCGAGAAGGGTGCTCTGCATGAGATAACTGCGCACACCACTGCGATTTTCTGCATCGGGGGTTCCAGTGCGCGGATACGCATGCTACGCTCCGGTGAACAACGTGAGAAGTGCATCTGTTTCGCAAGCAAAGATTGAAGCTCCTGCACTATCACAATATATCACAATCATTTCTTTCTTGGAACTCAAGCCAGCTCAAGATGGTGTGTACTGCTGGGCAAGTGTCGATGTTGTCTTCTGATCCTGCCTTTAGAAAGGCATCCCAAAATGCCTACTCTCGTTCATCCGCTATGGATGAGGTGCCATCCTTGCGTGTGCTGATTATTTTACGAAATCACCAATATACGGGTTGGTATTTTGTTGCAAAGCGGGTTGAATCTTGGGGCGAGGTCAGGTGTGCAACTTGTCTTGCTACCTCGGCTCCTTGTGGCTGACCAGTGCGCGCTGGGATCCGCCATTCCGCCTGAGCCTTCGAGCCTTGAAGGGGCATGCCTAAGCCATAAAAATTGTTTTGCTTTGCTTTCCCTTGACATCCAAAGTTCTGTTTCTGCAATCCTTGTCCATTAGCGGAATGGGGTTGCACAGAACCGAGGCCACCGAGTGTCACCTGCGCGAGTTGCGCTTCACGGACGCGCATGAAAGGAGGGCTTGCCTTTTAGAGGCGCTTTGCGTGAGGCTAGGTTGTCGTTGTTACATCTCTCTACTTGGGGGCATGTGCCCTTGTCACCATCACGTTCTTGTCAAATGACAGACTGACGAAGTCTGTTGAGCAAGAAGGTTTGACTAAGTGAGAAACTATCGGATTTCCGTGATTGTTGCCGGCAGCCAGCAAGAGCTAGGACAGTTCGAGAATTTGTGTCACTAGGCCGTGCGAATTTTGGGAACATTGCAAGAGCTGTCTGCAATGGTTCTTAAGGGCTCCTATTCATGGAATTGTGATGGGGGAGCTGTCACCTTGAACTTGAAGCACGGGGTGTTTCAATACTTGTCATGAGCGGACCTTATACATAGAACATGTGTTGCACACATGTTTGGCATGTTGCATTTGGCTTCGCCGGCCTGTCCAAGAATCACCAAAGCGTTCCTCCGCGGGCCGCCAGAGCACTGGAGAAGCGTCAACCACGGAATGGAATCAGCATGGGGCCAAACATGACTTGCTCATTCGGACAGCCGAGTTCTGATTTTTCAGAGATCGGAACAGCCCTGCGTGAGCGTGGCGAGCTCACCTCGGGAAAAAGCTCGTTCGCCCATGAAGATCCCTTGTCTATGTTGGTGAACATCGGATTTGTGCAGGTTGCAAACTTCGCTCTTGTGATGGCAGAACTGTGGCTGGGCTCTCTTCTCTGAGCCCATGCCTCGCAAGACCAGCAGCAAGGAGCGAATTGGAGGTGGGGCAAGGTGGGTTTGCCTAAGGGACCCCTCTGCCCAAGAAAAGGTGGTATCCCTTTCGTACCCTCACAAAAGCACACACCACGTGGAACTCTGGTTGGCGCAAGACTGGGTTTCCATGCCTTCCCGCCATTTCACTAGCTTATCAACTCGGTGACGGTCACACATCAGCACGGCCATGGAAATGGGTGAGGTCCACTTTGTGTTTTGCGGGAAGCTTGCGCTTTGGGAGGACAAAGTTCAGCCCGATGCTGGGCTGGGAGCCTCAAAAGAGCGGGGGGGGGGGGGAGATTTTCGCATGTTGATCAAAGAGAGTGCAGAGTGTCACTTCTTTACTTCTTTAAGTCCCTTCCGAGAAGGAATGATCGGGTTGTGTGTGTGTGCTGCTGTTTTTGTTGATGCAGTTGCTTTGTAGTTGAGTTGGCGTTTATGTTCCAGTTGGGTGGTTTGGGAGAGGGGGTTCGTGTTGATGCAATCCGCCAGAGGGCATGTTGATTGGTTTTCGAGTTTGATGTGGACAGGGCCCTCGGCCTCTTTGATCGTGGTGTTTTGTCAGGCTGCAAAACGCGCTGAGAATGGCTTTCAAGTTTGTTCAAAATCAGTGCTGAGCCAGATGGTAGTGGTTCCCTTTCTTCTTGTGGCGTCCCACTAAGGGATCCCCCGATTTTGATCAATCCAGGATTTTGCCGTTTAAGCTGCTTTCGGCAGATCCGAAAGCACTCAGGCTGTTCGCGCTGCTGTTGAACACCACCACAAAGGATGAGGCACTGGAGTCAACCTTGCCTTTTCGATATTTTTCGCTTATGTAGCTTTGCCTTCAGTCCTGCTGCTGCTCTTGCTCTTTCTGCTTTCTTGCCGCTTCCTGTCCCAGTTCTGCTGCTGCTGTAGATTTGCTGCTGCTGGCGGTGGTGCTGCTGCTGTGTTGCTGCGGAATAGTGCCATCTACGCTTACCCAGTTGGGACGGTGACGCAGGGCGAAGAGTTCCTGGACTATGCGTATCCCTCGGAGCATCCGGACCTGAAGGAGAGCGACAAGAAGGGAACTGGGCGAGTGGTCACTGGTCCATGGGTTTGTGTGTGTGTGTGCGTGTGTCTGGGTGTCATTGGTTGATACCTGGCTTGCTTTTGTTTGATATGTTTGGGGGTGCTGGAGAGAAGCTAAGAAGCCACTTTTGAGGGTTTCGCTGTTTGACTGTTTCTCTCTACGGTTATTTAGCAAAACACAAAATGCTACTGTGGATGGACGAAATCCTGCACCACTTTCAAACCATGGGCAACCATTGTTTTTTTGGTATTTACACGGGAATCATCATTCCAGTGTTTTTTAGGTGGTAGGGGGATTTCTTTCATCCACAGTAGTGATCATTCAACTTAGAACACTTTCGCAATATCCAGTCATAAACAAAATCACCCCTGTTCCGTACTTGCTCAACATTGGGGCATCTCTTTGGATGCTTGAACAAGAACTTCCCTGACCTGTTCACTTCGGTTTGCAATTGAGAGAACTCATCAGAGGATAGGAACCCCAAAAAAGATGAATACCTCATCTGAAGTACCATCAAAATACTTCTGTTGAGTTATATTTCGGTGTTTCATTGATATTGTGAAAATGCACACAACCATGGCAAACGATAGGGGACTCTCAAAAACTATACCCCTGGAAAAGGATGGAAGCGCTGGAAAACGATAGGGGACTCTCAAACTAAGTAGCGAAACTGGCGTAAGTAAGTAATTTCGACCGTGCTTCATCTGGAGGTTGGGTGATCTGTACCCGAATAGTTTTAACAGGGAAACCCCGAGGGAGCGGTTTTCTTTAATCATTTTGAACTGCCAAAGGACACCCCCAGAAAAGCAGACAATAAATAAGAAAAAATACAACTCAGCTTTCAGATCCTCTACGTCCTATGTCGCCTTCTGCAGCTTGATTCTCGGCGTGTCCCTCGAGTTGCTGTAGGGTTGATCTCCTGGCAGACTCCCAAGCAGCTGAGCTGTGTGCTTCGGGTCAAATGGCGGGCGATGGGCAGTCGCAGCATCAGAGCAGCCTTTTCCACCTCGGCCGGGTCAGCATGATCGGGGCAGGGAGAATCAAGCTGTTACAAGGAACTGCTTCACAGAGAGGTCGCGCACTAAGCCACAATTCGGTCCCCACTCGCCAAGGCAAATGTGGGTGCTAGAGAATGGAGGCGTTCTTGGTGGATGTTATATTTAGGCTGGAGAATGGCGGCTTTCTTACGGATTCGAAGGGAACCAAAAGGAAACCTTGAAGCCGTTGTTTGGGACCGAATTCCCAGGACCCCCGCACATCAACGGAAACCTGTTGCTGTTGAGTCAGGCCATTCTGCCGATGAAGGGTGTCCTCCTGGCCAGCTGCGGGGTCATGAAGGCGAAGCGAAGCAGATCCAAGGGCGGCCCACGTTGCAACATGGGACCCGCCAGAGAAATGAACATGGGTCAAAAGCCAAATCGTACCCCGAATGAACATCCCAATCCCAACTAAAAATAGGTTCTAAAATGGGTGATGAATTCACCCAATCCCCAAAATGGGATCCCATAACGGTTTTGACAACCACTGCCAAATAGCCAAATGGCCTCTGCGAGGGAAACCAGGACCTCCCTTTCGTCAGGTTCCATGGCGAGTGTTGTGTTGGGATTCGGCTGGGATTCTGGGATTCCGCCGGATCTCTTCGCGGAAACGGACAGGGAACGGATGGAAAGAGGCTTATTGCGCTTCCCACCGGTTCTGAGAAGAAGGGCAATTGGAAACGCTGAAAGTGCCCGTTGCTTAAAGATTTTATAGGTGCTACATAGCGGCATCAGGGTCCAAGTTAGAATGGGGGTGCAGGAATAACTTACTGCTGTTGGTTTGCGGATCCTCCGGCGCTTGCAGCTGAATGAGGCACCACCTAGCTGGTGCGGATTCCAAGCTTGGGCCAATTGAACAATGCTTACATAAGTATGCTGACACATGTTTCTCACGCCCACCTGGTTTCCTTTCGCAGAGAACCGCGGGCTTTCCTTTTTGAAAGCAACATAGCGACAATTGCGAGGCCCGCTCTGAGTGTAACCAAAAGCCAGTGGGTCTCTTCCCGCAAGCTTCAGCTCCGCTCGCCAGGCGGCGGTTGGTCAAGAGGTGGGCAGAACCCGATCCGTCCGCGTCTACCGTCTTAGCACAACCTGTCATTTGTGATTTCTCGTAGCTTCAGAGCAGGACTCTGACCTGGTCATTCCTGGTTTGCCAAAGGACAGCCAGCTGGCGAAGGTCAAGCAATCAGAGTCCTTTCCGCGTGCTGTTTGGGGCCCCCCAAAGGTGTGATGTGCTGTTCGGTCTTTGGCCTGCCGTCTTGCAGGATTTCTGTGATGCCTTAGGCCTAGACCCTCGGAATCTTTACAATTTCGAACCTGGGTCTTTGAGACTTTGAGAGAGCGCTGTTGTGGTTTTGTGTGGTGTGTTTGGGTGGTTCACGGCCATGTGTGGGTGTCTCTCGCCGTTGGGGTTGGGGTGCTTGTGTTGCCATGTATTTCTGACCATGTGTATCCTTTCTGAGCTGTTTGAAGGTGCAGCTCCCCTTGTGGGACCTCACGGTTTTGCCCCTGCCCTTTGCTTCAATTGGCCTCGGTTCTTTGAATCCCCAGGCGCCAAACCTTGGTAAGAAATGCGCCTGTGTGTGTGTGTGCGCCACAAATATGGGAGCATGCTTTGAGGCTGCGCCTTTTTCGGGGCTCAACAGGCATCCAAGGGAAAACCACGCGTGCTGCGCTTTTCCCCTATCTTGAAGCAAATCGGCATGTGTGCATGCCAATGGCATGAACAGGAGCAGAAGCAGCTCAGCCATGTTGAGACACATTGAGGCTTTAGAGCTGGTCTACATGTGCCAGTGATCAGAAAGAAGCCTGTGTCAAAGAGGAAGATACTATTTAATGTCTGAGATGATTTTGCTTCGTGGTGCTCTCCTCCCCTTGGGGGGTTGGTTTTGCGAAAGGCCCAAGGAAAAATCAGTGAGAAGCCATGGGAGTGCCCCAAGGCCCCAAGAAGGGCCCGAAGGGTCTCTGACTTTCGAGGTGAACTTTTTGCTCTTCAGGAGCCTCACTGGGCAGGAGTACAAGGCTACGTCGAGAAATGTCGAGGGTTCTGAAGTTGGCTCGCGAAAGATGAGGCTTTGAGACCAGCAATGGTCGTTATATTGACCGACGCATTGTTTAAAATGGTGAAAACTTGCTGGAGGTCAAGTGTCCCTGTGTGAAACATTTGGCTTCCCCATGTGTAAACCTGTTGCCACCTTCTGCGGGTCTCAATGGCCAGTTCTGTGCGTCGATCCATAGGCTCATCGGGATGGCATTTCGGCAGGTTTGCAGGGGCACCGGCAGAGTTGCTGCAAGAATTTGGACATGGGTTGAGCTCAGTCGCTTCAAATAAGGGCTCCCAAATATCCCCACTCTCATAGAATTGGGTGCCCTGGATGTTCATTCGATGTTTCGATTCTTCCCGTGTGGGAATTTCCAAATACGCTTCTGAAAGCCGCTTTGGCTCAACGACCGAGGTTCCCCTGAGATTCTGCCCAGGTTGCTTGCAAGAGAAACCCTTTCTGTCTTGGGAGTTTTCCCTTTGCACCCAGCGAACATGTTGGAGGCGGGCAGGACCCAGGCAGGCCCCCAACGTTCTCAAAGGCAACAAAGAGTATGGTCCGCAGCACTTCGCCCAACGTTTTGAGTGGGTGTCGCGCAGAGATATTGTGAGTCTCAGGGGGCGTTTGTTTTGAGCGGACTTTCTGGGCCAGTTTTGCTTGAGGTTTGTGAACTTGTTCAAAAACATGGCACGGGGCTCAGAAATTCGTTTTAAGCTTACCGTATCGCCAGCCGTTCTTCCCCAGAAGGTGGGCCGCAGGATAGACCGAGAACCCATAGAGTCGCTGAGTGCAAACAGTCAGGTTGGAGCGGAACAAATAGCTCCGTTTCGCCGTGCGTTCAGAACGTTTGCAAACGAAGTTGTCTTTTGCACGGTTGACTGCCAGTCGGGGTGGAAAAATGGCGTGGAGTGGCCGAGCGTACGCAGCATTCAAAGACCCTTCAAAGTTTGGCATTTTGTTCTTGAGCAGAGGCTGCCTGAAACAACAGGGGAGGTTGTTGTATGTTGTTGTGAACAAGAACCGTTCAGGACGCAATACGGCACCCAAAGAAAGCTGTTGTTTGTTAATAGCTTTGCAACAGGAGCTTGACCCCAACTCCCTGGAGATGTCCTTTTGCTGTTTGTCCAACTAGGTCCTAGCCAATTTGGAAGATGCTTTCCTTTGAGGAGCCTTCCATGACAGAAACCACCCACAGGAAAGTCAGGACATTAACCTTGACCCCCGCGCCATCCTGTGCCCAAAGGGTTCAGAGCGAATTTTCCGCGACTGATGTCGGCCAAAAGCGGTGGGTTTTAGGGGAGGTTGACGAGCCGTGGAGGTCTCCATGAAGCGCTTGGAGCGCTGGATCTTGTGCATCGTGCTGCCAGCTGCCACCACGGACGGATTGGCCGGCATCGAGTGCTTTGGCGATTTCTTACGTTTTGTTTTGCGCTTTTGGTTTAGTGGGTCCCCCGCAAACGCAAAGTAAAACGATCAACCCGGGTTCCCTTTGTCTGCCATGCAGGGTTGCTGAACAGCTTCGATTTCGAACGTTCTACTCTGCAGCTCTTGTGGCTCACGACCAATTGAAGCGGCTATTGGTTGTGATTAAAAGTGCTCCAAACTTTGTGGCGGGGCATGAAACCCCAATGTGATGATTGATTGTGTCTACCAAAGGGTGCAACAATTTGAAGTTCAGGATCGAGCCAGTTTTTCAGTTGAAAAGTGGCGCGGAACGACCAACAAGAAGACCGACGCCTTCTTTGAAGCGTCCAGGACGCCTGCGCGCGGCAGCTCGTAGACGAGGCTAGATTCAGCGAGCCAGGGTCGGGGTGTTGTTTTCTCAAACAAACGCAGAAATGGATAAGACTGATCTGTTTGGGACTGCAGCCAATGTTCTCTCTGTGCGGAGTAGGGATCCTTATGTGTTCCTTTTGGGTGATCCAAGCATCGCGTTTTGGCGGGCTGCTGGTTGTTCATGTAGGTGTTGGACTTGTTTAGAATCCAAAAGGTCTAGTCGTAGCAGCAGTAGTAGCAGCAGTAGCAGTAGCAGTGGTAGCAGTAGCAGTAGCAGTAGTAGTACAGTAGCAGTACAGTAGCAGTAGTAGCAGCTCTGAGTTTCGGAGCCCTGCTGTAAGTGACCCCTGTGATTGAGAGAGTGGTACTTAGTCCCAACGAGAATTTCACTTACTTCATTTGTCGAGGTCGGCCCGCAAATTCATTCACTTCTCCAGCTCTCCGGCTCTCCAGAACACTCAGCTTGTAAGTTGAGTGGTTACCCTCCCATACAATACAAACATGAAGAGGCACTTTCGCATCAACAGAGTCCAAAAGAGGTTTATACACTTCAGTTGGTGTTGCTGGGAGGGTAAATTGCAAATCCAAGGTTGGGAAATCAACATTTAACACGCATGCTCCAATCAAAAGCAACTGAATTTTGAATTTCTGGAAAACATGCTCATTGCAGGAGTCGATCTCAACTTTAAGACTTGAATACCAGCAAAAAGGCGATGCCTTGAAAACGCGGTGTGCCCACGTCGATTGACTTTACATGTTGTAGCATGTCTATGCTTGTTGTGTGTGTGTGAAGCGGTACACATAATTTGGACGAAGAGCACCGCGATCAAAGGGGGCGCTCGTGTCACCAGCGATGCTTGCCAGTGTTCGAGTGATTGTTCTCTTCATAGTGAGTTGACGGCAGATGCGTATGAGAGCCCCAAAGCATTTGTCTCCTCTTCTTGCTGGTGCGAGAAGTAGGGAATGAGAAATGGAATGAACCTAGGGTTCCCTCAAAGGAATCCATTTGGGACAAAACAATATTGGGGTCATTCCCTTTCTCGTTCCGCGCATCTCTCGCAGCGCTCGCAAGTGTCCTTTCAAAGCGAGCGCAGGCCTTGGCGCTAGTTCTGCTGCGCTTTGGCCGGCTGCAGAGTGCGGACTTCAGGCTGTGATCTGCCGCCCGAATTTGAACGACGTGAAGCCCTCCCATGGGTTCCGAACCCCCCCCTGAAGGAGGTGAAGCCCTTCCCATGGGTCCCATGGGTCCCATGGGTCCCATGGGTCCCATGGGTCCCATGGGTCCCATGGGTCCAATAGAAGACTCCTCCAAGATGGATCTTTCTTGTTGGCTTCATGTCATATGTGAGGCAGTGAGGCAGTGAGCTTCTGAGGCCGCCGTGACTGGCTAAATCCCTTCAGCTTGGTTTCGTCCAATTTCTCCAAGCCAACGAGCAAGGGGTTCCTCATTTTGTGAGAGACCATGACAGGCCCGTGTAAAGGAAAACGTGAGCTCAGTAGCCAGCCGGCGGTTCATGAAAGCTTCGCCCCGATTACTTTGGCTCGATGTTGCAAAGTCGCGGTTCCCGGCAGCATGGTGTGTGTGTGTGTGTGTGTGGGTGCGTGCGCGTGCGCGTGCGCGTGCGTGCGTGCGTGCGTGCGTGCGTGCGTGCGTGGGTGGGTGTGTGTGTGTGTGTGTGTCTGTGTTTGTGTCTGTGTCTGTGTCTGTGTCTGTGTCTGTGTCTGTGTCTGTGTCTGTGTCTGTGTCTGTGTCTGTCTCTGTCTCTGTGTCTGTGTCTGTGTCTGTGCTTGTGCTTGTGCTTGTGCTTGTGCTTGCGCTTGTGCTTGTGCTTGTGCCTTGTGCCTTGTGCCTTGTGCTTGTGCTTGTGCCTTGTGCCTTGTGCTTGTGTTTGTGGGTGTGTTTGTGGGTGTTTGCGCGTTTGCGCGTTTGCGCGTTTGCGCGTTTGCGCGTTTGCGTGTGTGTGTGTGTGTGTGTGTGTGTGTGTGTGTGTGTCTGTGTCTGTGTCTGTGTCTGTGTCTGTGTCTGTGTCTGTGTCTGTGTCTGTGTCTGTGTCTGTGTCTGTGTCTGTGTCTGTGTCTGTGTCTGTGTCTGTGTCTGTGTCTGTGTCTGTGTCTGTGTCTGTGTCTGTGTCTGTGTCTGTGTCTGTGTCTGTGTCTGTGTCTGTGTCTGTGTCTGTGTCTGTGTGTGTCTGTGTCTGTGTCTGTGTCTGTGTCTGTGTCTGTGTCTGTGTCTGTGTGTGTGTCTGTGTGTGTGTCTGTGTGTGTGTCTGTGTGTGTGTCTGTGTGTGTGTCTGTGTGTGTGTGTCTGTGTGTGTGTCTGTGTGTGTGTCTGTGTGTGTGTCTGTGTGTGTGTGTGTGTGTGTCTGTGTGTGTGTGTGTGTCTGTGTGTGTGTGTGTGTGTGTGTGTGTGTGTGTGTGTGTGTGTGTGTGTGTGTGTGTGTGTGTGTGTGTGTGTGTGTGTGTGTGTGTGTGTGTGTGTGTGTGTGTGTGTGTGTGTGTGTGTGTGTTTCTGTGTTTCTGTGTTTCTGTGTTTCTGTGTTTCTGTGTTTCTGTGTTTCTGTGTTTCTGTGTTTCTGTGTTTCTGTGTTTCTGTGGTTGTGTGTTTGTTTGTTTGTGTGTTTGTGTGTTTGTGTGTTTGTGTGTTTGCGTGTTTGCGGCTTTGTGTGTTTGTGGCTTTGTGTGTTTGTGGCTTTGTGGGTTTGTGGGCTTGTGGGCTTGTGGGTTTGTGGGTTTGTGGGTTTGTGGGTTTGTGGGTGTGTGGGTTTGTGGGTTTGTGGGTTTGTAGGTTTGTGTGTTTGTGTGTTTTTTGTGTTTGTGTGTTTGTGTGTGTGTTTGTGTGTTTGTGTGTCTGTGTGTGTGTGTGTTGGTAGGTGTGGGCGGGCGCGCGGGTGGAAGGGAACCTCAAAGACACTTCTCTTCAGTGCCATGTATGACATGACTTATGGATGAAGCAAGGGAGCTGGACATCAGACAGGCATGAGGATGCAAACCCAACCATTTAAATTGTAGGGTGTTCCAACCATCAGAATTCGTCGCCACTTCAGAATTCTAGGGGTTGCCGATTCTTTCCAGTCTTCCTGTCCGGAAAACCAGGCATCAGCCATGGAAGGCGACTGCTTTTTTTGAGAGAATACAGCAAGGGAAAAGATCCGAGGTTTTGGAATGTCCAGACCTTGTGTCCAGAGCACATCCACCAAACTTTCCCCTAAAGTGCACGGACCCCTTTGAAGGCAGCTGGAGCCCATCTTCAAGGCGATGTCCTCCGTGTTGGCCAGCCACTCCCTGTGCCCCGCGCGGTGTTTTAGTGTGAGCATGTGACTTAGGGTGAGCAGTTGGCCAAGCATTTGCGACACCCGCAGTCAGTCCTAACTTGGCGAAGTATTTCACACCCCCATGTGATCCTAGTTTGTCGACGTTGTTAGTATCGCCCCACGTGGGTTTTTGATTTGGGCAATTCATGTTCACACAAATGTGATTTGGGCTCCACATGTTTCACTGGGCTTTCCTGTTTATTTTTGGCCGAGCCTCCGGCAGGTATTCGTGCTCGGGCCAGCTGCAGTGGCACCCGCTGGCAGAGGACTGGAAACAGGCGGGCCTGGGGCTTTCCATTTCATTGGCGCTTTTGTCCTCTTGGGGGACAACCCCCACAAGCCCCTGGTTTCAAGCCTTTGGTGGGTTCGGGGCTCACAAGTGCTCAACATCGAGAAGGGTTCCAATTTGTTTTGCAGCGGGGTCACCGGGCAACTGTGCTGTCAGGATGTAATGTCGACCCCAGATCCCGGGATACATAAAATGTTCCCCCCAAAGTGGTTTGGATTTCATATTCAACGGGACACCCCTTTATGAAGCAATGGGTTTAGTATCTCGGGGTTCCTGTTGGCAAGATGTTTTGACCTGTCTTTCGCAGGTGGTGGAAGTCCACATCTCCAAGTGGGAGCAGGGATGGCAGGAGTCCGCCTGGCCCTCAGATGCACTGAACCTGTGGACGAAGGGGGCAGTCCCGGCAATTTGCCAACGCGCAGTGTTAGGAGATGCCGGGAGTACTTGCCCGGCCAGAAGTGCAGCTTGCTTGGGCACATGTCAGGATAGCACCTTCGCATGGGTCCTATGGAGTGCCACTCGCAACTGCTACTTGCTCAAGGTGAAACAGTAGGCATTGTGCAAGGAGCCAATCAAGCAGTGCAATGCATGATCCAAACAAGAAGGCCATGCATTGAGAATGGTATGTGTCATGTTGACATTTGAGCATGCAACGTATCTGGCAAATGGAGTTCACATTTGTAGGCCTCGTGTGCAGAAGTTTAATCCGATATGGATATCCACGTCCGTGGTCTGGACATGTTGCACATCGCTTTCACGCAGCTCTCTTTGATGTGGTCTCTCCCTTGTTGTCATGTTTGTGCTGGGTGGTGCGAACCGTCCTTGCAGAATCCAAGTGATGCCACTCCATGTAAGTAGCACGAGTAGTCGTAGACAGCAATTTGAGAAGGCGCTAGTTTCAGAAGGCGCTGAATATGAGCAGCCAGCCCGTGTGCTAATGTGTGCTAATGTGTGCTAATGTGTGCTAAAGGTGTAAGGTCGTTTCGTCGCGTAGTCTTTTTTGGGTCATGTATGCTCTGAATCATCGTAAATCACTGATGTTTCCATTTTGTTCCCTGCACCAAAGAGTGACCCTGGCAAGTTAACCCTTCCCCAATGGTTCTTTCATACCAGAGGACTTGGCTTGGAGACTTACACCCAGCACCTTTCTTTGCGTTTGTTTGTTTGCTTGTTTGTTTGGTTCTTTGATTTTCGTTTGCTTCTTTGTTTTCCAAAGGGAGGCTCAAGGAAGTCTATGGGACTTGGCTTTTGCGCTGAAAAGGCTTCGGATCACCGGTTGCTGGCAAAAAGGGTCTGAAATAGGCGACTCAACTGCGGTGTGGAACTGCTAAACTGGGAGGGTTAACTGGGCTGTGAACCCAAATGCCCAGCCCAAACTGGACTGAAACCGAGGGATTCGCATGTCCGAGGCGCCCAGCCCGGCGCTGGCGGTGCCGCAGGGCTTTGCGCTGCTGCTGGAGCAGCAGGTCATGGCCACCAGCCGGGAACCCAAGGCTTTGCTTTGCTCCGGGGGCTGGTTTCATTTAAGAAACCAGGCATGGGAGGGGGGGTGAGTTGGGAAACCAAGGGTGTTGGTAACTTGTTTTTGTTGATTGGGGGAAGGGGGGGTTGGTTTAATGAGACACGAGGCGTTGAGCCTGGATGGTTTCCCTCCCCTCCGGGGGGGGGGTGGGGGGGGGATGGATGCATCGACCGTAGGGTCCGTCCGTGATTTGAATTTGCTACACGGTGGGAAGCAAGCCAAAGGCCTCTCAGTACGTATGGAAGGGGAGAGTGAGGCATACGGAATGAGGCATACTGCTTTTTCAGTGGCGGATGTTCTAGATTTCCGTAAGAGGAACTTGAGATTCAAATCCGAATCGAGGTTTTCCTTTAGTTGGATCCAGCCGCCTTTCCTCGCTTCCTCTAAGTTTTAGCAGGGCTATCCAGCCTGGCTGGTTGGATCATGTCATCGGCTTTTCTCGCAAAGCCTTTTTGGTAGCCTGTGACAATGTTCCCATTTGCCACCAAGAGTCTGCTTAGCACATCCAAGCTGCCCGGGGTGTTTTCATGGCTTCCCTTTAGAGGAAAAAACTGAAAGGGCCTGTTGTCCAGTTTTCGGGCACTTTCGACTGCCCTTGGTCGGCACAGACCTGGAAGTCTTCTCCTCATGTCGCAAACCACTGGTATTTTTGGAATCTTTGGATGTGGCCATGGGTCAAAACCCCGTACTTGCAGTGAACATCCCAATCCCCACTAAAATAGGTTCTAAAATGGGTGGTGCACCTACCCCAAAATGGGATCCCATTGGTTTTGAACCATGGCCGTATCATGACGCCACTGAGACCTAAGCGGAAGGTCCAGATCGTGTTTGGAGGTGATGCTTGTTTACCACAAGTATAAGCTTGTAGCTCGTTGGTGATTTTCAGGGTTAGTGGTTTCCAATTTTGATTCTAAGTTTGCCAGCATTGGCAAAACTGTGGTGATCAAGTTACCTTGTGGTTTCCAATTTCCCGCAAATTACGGTGAAGCACTTTGCCCTCCTTCATGGGGAGAGCCTAGGATTTAGGCTGTAGGTCCGTCTGACAGGAAGCCAACCTGGAGCTGGTTGGTCGTAAATTCCCTCAGATCACCTCCCCGCATGACGGACGCCTCAAGGCTTGAACGACGAGGCCTTCTCCGCCTGTGCGCGGCTGCTTGCCTTGGAGGCGGGGGAGTCGTAGGCCTCGTGGTATGGTATATGTAGCTGTGGGTCAAAACCAACGGGATCGCATTTTGGGGTAGATGCACCGCCCATTTTAGTGGTACGGGATTTTGACCCATGGCCATGTAACTGCCGAAAACATGGTAATTAGGGGTTTGGCACTTGCTGTGAGCCAAGGGAGTCCTCTAAAACGTGAGCAAGCCATGGGAATCAATCACTTGGGTATCTCAGAAAGGGTGATTCTCCACGACCGAGCACGATATGCAAGCATAGGAATCAACCATGTTCACCTAGCATGCCCCTTCAAGAAGGCCAACTAAATGCACCAGGTACGTGAGGTGTACTTGTATGACAAGGGTGCTTGGTAAACACTGAGCACAGCTTGCTGTTGCCGGTGATTCGCAAGGGCTTCCTGTATGAAGTTTCGAGGTCGTTTCTCACTCAGGAGAAGCCTCTCTTTTTTTGCTGAGCGCAACAGCACTGCCTCGCATGGATGGCATCTACGTCAGTCAGGAGGGTCTCCTGTCACATCTCCTGTCACATCGTACCTTGGCTTTGCTTGTCTTTCCCATGGCGACTTGAACCACAGCACTCCCCGATAAACCAGAAGTCAGCAGCAACTTCAGGCTCTGGGCAAGCAATGTCTTCGATTGGCGGCCGCTCCCATCTCTCCCGCGCGAGTGATTCCAGTCCAGATTGTGCCATGAATGCCTGCTGTAGATGAATTTGCTGCTTCGATATAGATATTGCCCGATAAGTATACATGCATATAATGTCATATGTTATATTGCAACAGAACATTTATAACAAAACATTATATATATATATGTTTAATAACATAGTTTGTAATGACATAATACGATATCATATATAGCACAATATAGAGCAGAAACTATAATAACATGCTATGCTATGCTATGATATGATCTAATATATATATATATATATAGTATTTTACGCATGTTAGCACTCATGCAGGCAATTACGTATATTTACTTTGCGTTCGGATTCGCGTCCGTCAATTTGCCATCTTAGGCCATGACCGGTGAAGCATTAAACAACTAGCACAGACTGCGAGCCTCGAAGCTCGCAGGCAAGCAACAACGTTTCAGCACAGACACGCGTATCTCCGGGCTGTCCGTTCTTGCCGGCTGGCTGGTTTCCTGGTGTTTTATTTTTCCAAGAGGCAGCCATTTCTGATGGCATCGATGATTTTTTCGCGCAGACGGGAATCCAGCGCGTCTGTTGTTCGAGGTGCTTCGAGCCCAAATATGAGCAGATTGTTGAACTGAAGCTAACCCCTTACTGTAGATAGCCTGAATAAGAGCATACTCCTCAAGCCAATGAATGCGTGACACATTCTGTTCGCTCAACCGCTTCAGGGCGAAGCAAAGCCAGCCAGCGATGATTTGGATGTGAGGCCGGAACCTGCTCATAAAGTCATTGCGGAGCGCATCGGTTTGCAGGAATTGAGGTCAGAGTATCGCTTTGCAATAATTTTACATCAAGGTATCGCCTTCTAGAAATTCAGGTAAAGATTCAACATAGTTTTCAGCTTGCCGCAATCACATGCGTGCTGGTTCACCCACTTCAAAGGTTGTGCACCCCATCGGTGAGAGATGCCAGGTGTCACTCGCTCTTCCTGACGCTTTCGCCAGGACCATCACCAGAACCTAGGTTCTCACATCCCACACTGATACATGAGCCGCAATCAACAACATATACAATTAGGGGACAGTCCCAGCCATAAGTCTAGTCGCCTTTCTGACCCTTTACATTCTATTCGGTTTGGTTTGGACAATGACTCACGCGGCAGGAGGAATGGAGCCTTTGCCCTCGCACCAGTACAGCCTCTTGCAGAAGCTCGGATGTAGTGGGGAGTGGGGAAGACCTCTTGGTGAAAGGAAACCTAAAAAAAAACACTTGTGGGATGTGCCCGATTTTGGAGACACACCTCATGGTTTTAGAGTCTTGACCGCCGCTTGGTGGGCTCAACTGGTTTGTTGGGTGCTGGTGGAACTTGCGGTACAAGGACTTCAGGCTGGCATTTCGAGCGTGTTGAGGTGCACAAGTTCTGGCTATCCTTTGATACCTTATATACTGCGGCGCAAGGGTAGAAGTGAATGCTGACTGCATGACCTTTTTTGTCCTGTGTTGTGTGCTTCCACGTGCAAGTGGGCAAGGAACTGAGCGATTTCCGTCAATGAAGGCTTTAGCAATGACACAATTCGTCGAGAGTCGCCCAAAGCCCCTTACCAAACCATGTTGGCGGAAGGTTCCAACTACTCTCTGGTTTAGTTGGGACTACGGTGAAGCCCATCGAACAGAGCTATCATCAACCATCCTGGCCCACGTCAATGGGATGCTGGGTTTGGCAAGTAGGGGTCCCTCTTTTGGGGTCCAATCATGTTTGTGTTTGTGTGTGTGCGTGTATGTAAGTGTGTGCGTATGTGCGTGCATTTGCACGTGCGTGTGCACGTGGGTGTGTTGTTTGAGGGCACACGCGTTCACCTTCAAATATATTTTGGAAGTCCTCTATTTTGCCACAGACCCAAGTCCTGTTTTAGTCCCCTGGCAAGTCTTCCCCTTGCTGAGGAGAGGCCCATGGCAGGCTCCTCAGTTTGGAAGCGGGCTGGGAGCGGGCTCTGGGCTCTGGGGGGCAACCGAAATCGGCGTCCCTTTCGGATGTTGAAAGGGAACCAAAAGCAGCGCAGGGTTTGGCCAGCATCTTGAAACACCAGGTGTAGATAATCCAAATGCAGCCCAGTCGGATGCATTTATGGCTTATCCCCTTCTTCGGGTGTCTGTGGCTCTTAGGCTGTTCTTCGTCCTTTGGAACATGTCCGACACAGCCGAGTCCCAAGAGTCCTGCAAGGGGCACGCAGGGGCGCGGGCTGCTGGCAACACATTTCAGCACTCGGGCCATCCATTTGTTTCACAGTCTCAACATGTGTTGATGGTTTTAACAGGTTGCAGCATGTTCAATCCACTGGGCTGAAATCAAAGTCCCATTGAGCTGTATGAATCAAGCCTCCACTTCTACTCCTTCTTGGTTCCAGCCGTGCCCGCCTTGGCTATTTCTGAGTCGCTGGTGTTCTTTTATTGTCCAACGGACGGTCAGTCCAAATTGCATCGAAGCCATCCTTCGAATCGGAGACAACTGTTGGTGCCCTCGGACAGTCATGTTCAGCCGGCACTGTTGGTGCAGACTGGGCAGAAATGTCCTAGACATGTGCCAGAATGGATGTTAGCAAGGGATGAGTTGAAGAAAACGAGTTGCACTGAGTTGGCTCGAAGAGTCGTCTTAACCCTCATCCATGGCGCTGTTGTTGTTTTTTTCCAGGTCACTTTGCTCCCGATCTCATCTGGAGCATGTGCGGGAGAATGATTCGGCTTCAGTTCGCTATGGGGATTTTGAATCCACATTGTCAAATTACGTTTGGTGTGAGGTCAATAATTAGGGATGCTAACTGTCGCATCGATGAGCATATCAAGAAGGCCATGTTTTTTTGACCCAACACGGGAGTTTCGACGACGACAAGCACGGCCATTCAGTTGCCCGCGGGCCTAGCGACTGAAAGCAGACGACTTCAGCACCGCTTCCACAGGTTGGAACTTCTCAGACACCGCGGGCCAGCAGCTCAGCGGCGGAACGGCTTGGATTTGCTGGCTTGTGTGTTGGCTGTGTTTCTTTGTGCGGACATCTATGGGCCAGAGACTGGAACCCGGCTGCCTGGTGCTCTATTCTGGCGACTCTGATGACCTTGCTAGCCTGGATGAAACACAACGGTAGTTTGTGGGTCAGCAGAAGGGTCTTGAAGCTTGAGCAAAGGTTGCGTATAGCTGGCGCCCTGATTCGTTTGGAATCCGTGAGCATGAAGCGAGGTGCCTTGCAAGCACAGGTTTCACTATGGTCCAAACCCTTGGCATACCATTGGTTTGCCTCGAAGTGGAGCGATTGAATTAAAGCTCTGGTGTGATACATATGTTGTTGGTGTTCTGGAGATGGATGTATTGAAATCCCAATGTATTGCATGCCAGTCTTAGAGCCGCTTTTCCCTCCTGCCCAAAGCTTTCGTCAGGTTGCTGTCGATTCCGCAAGGGGACAGTCCCACTGGTTTCAGGGAGAGTGCAGGTAGAGTCCCCTACCAAATGCGTATTCCGATTCAAAAAGCGAGGCCCCTGCACCAATTGGCAACTGGTAGGTGCTGTATTCCAGTAGTCCATCCCAAGTCGCGCAGGATTTGTTCCATCCGCAGTAGGGGTTGCCTGCGTCACGTTTTGATGCCTCAGGTAGCAGCAGACCCCTTTGGCATCGACATTTCCCTAGAGCTCCTCACAACTCTTCCGCTGCCGCCGGGGTTGGGGGCCACAGAAAGAGGTGCGCGAAGGGCGCTTCATGCATGTGCCTTGGACAACACGGGCTGGCTGCACAGTGTGTGTGCCTAAAATCTGGGGAGCGAAGCGGGCAGTCAGAGCCAAGAGGAAGAGGGCCGTATCTTTGTCGAAGATCTTCCGGATGCCAAGGCGATTTCCGCAGAATTCAAAGTGATCCCAGTCGACTGAAAATCCTGAGAGGGGAACCGGGGCCGGCGCTCGATGCTTTTCAATCCGGATCGGCCAACCCCTTCAAGTCCAAGAGCCTTTCGAAAGGAAGAGGCTCTCTGGGTAAATCGCCCATACCCCGCAGATGGAGCCCAAAAAATCGGCGTTCCCCTCTAACAATGAGCAGGTTGTAGGCTCCATGTTGATCTGCAGGAGAGTAGTGTTCATCAAGAAAGCAAATCAAGGAAACCAAAGGGGCCAGATGAAGCGCTTCCGAGGCATACTGCTGCGGAGCGCCAGCCAGGCGAAGTGCTCCATCAGAGATAGCGCACAGGGGCGCTGCGCGCCTCGGAGAAGCCAAATTCAACAGAAACTGGTTTGGACTTTGTACGTTGTGCTACTAACGCGATGGTCATTGGCTCGACATGGCTTGACGTGGCTCGACCTTAATTCGAAAACGGCGGTCAGGCGAGGACGAGGTAAGTGCTGTGACATGCTCATAGTTGTCGCTCAGCAGTCGATTGCTTGCCTTGCAAGATGTCAAGCAATCGCAGATTGCATTTTCATTGCTTTGTACCTGTAATCCCGGACTGCATGAAACAGAGGCAAACACTCAACACCAGATTTACAATTTCCCTTCATGGTTTTGCAACCGGAACTTCCTGGCAGGTTTGTCTCCGAGCTTCAACCCTCCATCCAGGCAGGATGGCATGCCCGACATCTACAAACGTTCTGCATCTTTCTTGAGCCAGGTCAGTATTCATTGTGCACTCAGTTGACATAGGTTTGCGTTAAGTAACTCTCTCTCTCTCTCTCCCTCCAAGAGATGGTCAATCCGAATTGCGTTAAAGCCATCCTCCGAATCGGAGAACACTGTTGGTGCCCACGGACGGTCATGTTTAGCCTGCACTGGTGGTGCAGACTGTGCAGAGTAGACATGTCCTAGACATGTGCCAGTATGGATGTTAGCAAGGGATGAGTTGGAAAAAAAAGGTTGCACTGAGCTGGCTCGAAAAGTCGTTTTATCCCTCGTCCATGGTACTTTTGTAAATCCAGGTCACTTGGCCCCAAAAGCAGTCCAAAAGCTGTCCAAAAGCTGTCCCCTTTTAACAGTAGATGACGCTGAAGATTGTCACTGTCCGCTGAGAATCGCCTACATCCACATGGCAAGACCATGCTGTGTCCATTAAACTCATCCGGCCGAGAATCCTCGCAAGTGGCCAACACGTAGGAGAGTTGTAGCTAATTCAAGTAGCCTTTGCCTTCAAAGTCCAGGCGAGGTGTCCAAACGTATGTCACATGCACAAGCAGGGGTTGATGCTTGCTCGTAGTTTTTGATGAGTTGAGGCCCAGTTCAGCCTTTTTGCTCAGGATCAGACTCAGACTGCACGTGAAAGGGTTTTCTGCAGTAAGACATGTAGTGATTCTTGTGGGGTTGCGGCCTCCTTGTTCTCGTGGTGCCTAGTCTGAATTTGAGTTTAGCAATCGACTTTGCAGGTCAGGCCACGACAAAAGGAGGCGGGAATTTCAGAAAAGAGCGGCGACGCGGCATGTCCGATCAACATTGGAGGTTGCAATTGGATTTGGTGAGGCCAAGGGCTAAGGACCACCTGGTCTCGGATGCGTGGAGCATGGACCTGGGATGAATTGCCTTGAACTGCAAAAAACAACCAACACCCAAAGGAATATGAAGTCAAGATATAGACCTCTGGCCTAGTGACTACATTGGTGTGTAAAAAATTGAGAGCAACTTTCCTGTCAGCGTTTTTGCAATATTCGGCCAGCACAATCGGAGATTGTGCCAACTGGTGTGGGCGCAAATTTCCAGCTTGCCTCAGCTGATCATCGACGGAAGCTGCAGGAGTAGCTTTGGCCTGCCGTGCCTCTTCAAGGCTCGGCAATCTCGATGTGTTCAGCAAAGATTGGCTCTAAGCCTCGCAAGTGGTTAAGGGTTTTCTTAGAGAGTTTTGCGAAAACATGAGAACCATGTGGAGCTTTTGGGAGCCTTGGAAGCCCTGGTTATCCCCCCATCTGATCCCCCCGCTTGGCACCTGCACGAACAGCTCGAAAGGGACACCCACAAGTTGTCGGCGCCTGCCTATGGAGCGCTGTTGACGTTTTGTTTCTCGGAGAGATGGATGGCGAAAGTGAGTTGAAGCGTTGCGATAGGTCTGGAGAACTGACGAGCCATTCATTGGGAAGGGCCCCTGGATTGGACGCTAGGTAGCTGATAGCATGACCGGATCAAACACAACGGTTGCCAAATTGGTAGGCGCCAAGTTTGTCATCCCCCGAAAGCAGGGCTGAAACCAGCTTTGAACCAGCTTTGAACCAGCGGAACATCAGACCAGGAATGCTTTAGAGATGCTCTGTGTGGTGCTCCTAGGCTGTTGCATACGATAAGGGCCGAGCAGAATTAAATTGAGTTGTGGGGTGGGGTGCTCTTAAATGCCATGATCATAGGGCAATCATACGTGTAATGATTCAGAGCCTCGTGTCAATCCACGCGACCGTGCGCCGGCTTGTTGTCCCTCAGCCAGACTCGGACAAAGTCCGCCGAGCATCTTGACGACAAGGAGGTAGAGAAGGCAGGAGCATAGGTGTCGCTCCTTAGTGCGTTTGGTTGACACTAGATGGCGCTGGTTTCAGTGTAGTTCACATCATTTCCCGATACCATATATTTTTCCAAAGGGCATCCAGGGGGCCGGGGGGCGAGTGAGAGGGGATTTCTTCGGAAGCTGCAGTTACCTCAAATCAAAGTCTTTAAATGTGATGGTCCTGCCCTACACAATTCCACTGCCGGCAGTGTAAGATGACCAACTGGACCAGATTTCAGGCATCCTTCCCCGGAAAAGTTCTTGAGTTCCAAGGATATGGCCCAATTCCTGAAACACTGGCCAAGCACCAGCTTGCAATACACCTAATTGAGCTGGGTCGCCTTTGCCCTAAACAAGTGGAAGAGCAATATGACCAATGATATGCTGTGCTGGACCGCCAGTCAATCTTCTGAGAACTCGGAATCTGAGCAACACAACTAAGTGAGTCCGTGGTATGTGAGCAAAACTACTAAGTGAGTCCGTTAGCCACACTGATCTTCCTGACTGAAACTTCTGCAACATAAATGCAGTGGCACGCATATGCAGTAGCAGATGCAAATCGCAAACTGTACGCTTGAACAAGGCGCACATGTCAGTTTTAACTGGTGTGCGCACACTGGAAATTCAACGGTGTCCTGTCCATGCCAACATGGCAAGACCCATTTGGACTCATGCGAACCCCCTATGCAATCTGGGTGAATTATAACGACCTCACACGACCGCACCACAAATTATGGTTTATGTGGGACCCTATTTCAGGTTGGTGAAAAAATATAGTTCACTCAGATGCAATTTGACTGCCGCGTCACCAGCCCCCGGAGCCATCGCACGTGTCTCAGGTGTGCCGCCCGCAGAACTTCTGCCACGCGCTGGAACTTCGGGGCGCCTCGGCCGGACATCCGGGCGTTGCGCGCGTCCGGGGCCCCGTTTCCCTGTTTTGTGAGGTTGTTTTAATGGGAAGCCACCAGAAAACCGAAGCCTGTTGTCGGGGAATCCCCTATTTGGAGATAAACTATGCTAAAAGGGTTGCCGCCGTGATAGAATCATGGTCCACCTAAATCATTGGAGGACATGATTCGGGCAGGTGTTTCTTTCAATGGTTTTTTCGACTGGCAACCAAACGGAAATGTGAACCCCTGGTACGAATCATTTTTTGGCTTCATGGTCCATCGCTGCGTGCAGCCTTCGCCGGATTTGGCCGCGCTTCAGGCGAAGACCCGAGGCCTCCCGGCAGCTTCTCAACTTTGCAGGCAAGACGGGGGAGGGGCGGCGGTTTGATGCGAGCTGCGTTAAAGAGAACATTGAGCTTTCAGATCCCCTCCCACAGATGCTGCTTTAGTGGGAGATAGTGGGAGTGTAGATGTCAAGTTTGTCCCATGGTAGTGCCGTTTTTTGCCTCTGCTAAAGATAGCTTGAGTAGATGGTGGAAACAGCATCAGTGGCGGTGGTGCTTTGCCCCAATTGCAATCCTTCCATGGACAAACACAACAAATGTTCTTTATCTAAGATGGATGATAAGTTTGCATGCATGAGTCCTGACCTTTGGTTGGTGACCACATGTGGATTCCGAGAGGCTTGCATTGCGCGCTTATCCTGAACCGGCAGTGAGCAGTTGAGCAGGCAGGTGCAGGCTGTGTGGCGCCAGGCATGACAAAACCCGCTAAAGTCTTCCGTAGTATGGCGGGCGCCCTCAAGTGGCTGATGACAGGGTCCACACGAAACAAGTGTCCCTGCAGCACAAATGGTACGACCAACCGAACAGCCAGAAAGAAGAGTCCAGATTTTGTCGGCTTTTGGTTCTGCAGCGGAATTTGCATCTGCGTTGGTATGCAGTGCCATGCACGGCCTTGCTTGGTTCCTCTTGAAAATACCCCATCACAAACCAACGCCCATGTGGTCCAAGCCTGGAGACCCACGATGATTAACGATGATATTCAACCAAGCGAATTCGCTAAAGAGTATGGAGGTGTAGGAATAGTGACTTTACTACTGCTACCACTACTACTACTACTACTACTACTACTACTACTACTACTACTACTACTACTACTACTACTTCTACTTCTACTTCTACTTCTACTTCTACTAACTTCTACTTCTTCCTACCTTGACCTTGACCTCGACCACCACCACCACCACCACCACTACCACCACCACCACAACCACCACAACCACCACTACCACCATTACCACCACCGCTAGTACTACTATTGTGGCTAACCCTGCAACTGCTTTAGCATGTTTTTTGCAACTGCTACTGCTCCTGCTCCTGGTCCTGACCCTGCTGCTACCCTTTGTTACTTGGGAGGATGGTTTGTTTGCTAACCCTTGGCCCTTTCACATTTTTGCAGGACAGCATTCCATCCATTTCGCAAGTCACAGGAGCCCCGCCGAATCTCGGGCGCCAGCATACCTCAGGCATGGCGGGATTTTCATGTCAGGCGTTCACTGAATTGCTTGGAAGCTTGCAGAAGATGCAAAAAACCTCGGCTGTTGTTTGATCGATTGATGTATGAATACA